CTCTCTCTCTCTCTCTCTCTTTCTCTCCCTCTGGCACAAAAAAAGTAAGCTAAAGCAAATACTGTATCAATATTTAGACAGCTGAGATCAGAAATCCATACTCATCTGAGAACAAGTCCCATCAAAGCCGGTGGGACTTCCTTCTCAGCAGATACATACTGGGCTATCTAAGTAGGTACTGGGTCTCATTGCTCTCTAGTTGCAGGAGCAGAGACATGAGCTGACTATTGATGTACTACTTGGGAAAACTCAAACAGTTAGAAAATACATTGTGCCTGCACAGCAGAAGAGGGGTCAGAAACATTTTTGGGTTAAGCTGTACATTCTGTTGGGAGTCCTTTGTCCAAGACCACATGCTGGCATAGGCAGTGCCAAGCTAAAAGTCCTTGGAAGCACCCTTTCCTCTCTTTCATTACTCCATTCACTCTCTCTCCCGCTGGGCATATGGTTCAATTGGCAAGTGTACTTTTGTCCCAGAGTCATAAGAAAATTAAACTTTGAGCTAAGCAGTTTGTTTTCACTTCTTGTGCTTTTGATGTTTGTTACTGCTGGGCAAACTGAAGACTCCCATCCATTAAAAAGTCCTGAGGGCCTTGTACATTTAAGCTGTTGTTGTTCAGTCGTTAAGTCATGGCTGACTCTTTGTGATCCCATGAACCATTTAAGCCGTGCCTTGGCTGAAAACAATCCAACAGTTCTGCGAGATGCTTCCAACTCATGGCAGCTCTCTGTCTGCTGAGTGCCCCTTGGTCATTGTGGTCGGCATTTAGGCAAAGAAGAAAACTCAGTTTAGCAAAGGCTCAAATGGCCTTTCCTTTCTGTACATTGCCTTAAGATCTCTTCTCCCTTGCTAAAGCAAATTTGATTGAAGCTGTCATACCAGAAATGGTTTGGCATGTTTCCTGGCAGTATTCTGCTACCCTCTGAGGATCTAAAATGGTTTATTTCCTTCATTAAAAAAAAAAAAAAGTATTATGTATGAATTCTTCAGAAATAGTAAAATATAGATGGACCTAAGTGGAAGCTTCTAAATTGCCACTCCACTTTCATCTTTTATTACCTAAGTGGAAGCTTCTAAATTGCCACTCCACTTTCATCTTTTATTACCTAAGTGGAAGCTTCTAAATTGCCACTCCACTTTCATCTTTTATTAAAAAAAAAAAAGTATTATGTATGAATTCTTCAGAAATAGTAAAATATAGATGGACCTAAGTGGAAGCTTCTAAATTGCCACTCCACTTTCATCTTTTATTCCTTCTTTTGATCTTTCATCCATTGGCTATTGCATGAGGTTGGCATCAAGCTTATGTAAAATGGCATTTAAAATTTGTACATGTTACCCATGAACTGCTCAAATCTGCTCCATAGAGCTTCCTTCCAAAACGGGAGATGCAGAAAAGTAATTATCAGATAAACTGCCTGAGTTGAGTTACGCAGACCACAAAAATGGAAAGGACTACTAGGATAACACATGGTGATATTGCCTCCATGCACAATGATCAAAGCAGCTCATGGCTAGATTCGCTGGAACCAAGTTACCCTTCCTCCTGCTTAACAATCTATGTAGGTATAACAGCATGCCTACCATTCCCCACCACAAACGGAATCCTGTGTGGTCCTCCTGCAGTTCCTAGTCATATCTGTTGGTCCGGTTATTATAAGAATCCACATTGTGCAGGTAGCTGGTTTGTGGAGACTGTAGCCCTCCATTAGTGGAAGTATTTACCCACTTCCTGATACAACTAATGCTCCAATATACAGACGAGTGGGCAAGATGGAGGTCATTTGAATCAGTATATTCCCAGACCTGGAACTGGGGTATAACCTGTTCTAAGATAGTACTCCCTTTGAAGGCTCTGAAGTGAAGCCTGTGGATCCAGTACTGTTCTCAGCTGATAGCAGCTGAAAAAGTTGAGCTGTTTGCTCAGCTCAATATCATCTGGGGTGCCAGCTGCACCCTTTCATGAGGAACTAAGAATTGGCCACAGTGATTCATGCCTTAATCATTTTTTCTTTATGTTGCTTCTAAGAACACTACCCTTGAAAACTGGAAATCATAGGTCACACACAATGAAGCAATTTGATTTTTGTCAAAATGGCATTTCATCATGGCAGTCTTGAAATCAATTCCCATAGTTCCTCTACTGCCTAGGAAGGTCGGTTGCTGTAGACTCAAAGCAAGGCTTTTCTTGCAGCAACACCCCAATTCTGCAACTTCTTTCCAAAGGAAAGGAGATTGGCTTCTCTTTTGTTCTGTTACTGTTACTCTGGTACCTTGGTGATTTCAGAATGTTCTATCATCCCTTCCCATGCTTCATTCAAAGAAGATATTTATGAATGCCTTTCTCAATTGTTAGTTTGCTACAAAAGGTATTTGAAGTTTAGAGATTTCAGAAGCCACCTCATTATTCTCCAAAGTGGAACAGAAATACCTTCATAAAGATTTTCTGAAAGGATAGGTTTTTCGCCTCCCCAACTTCCCCCTCAACACTGCGCAAAGATAATTGTTGATGGTTAATTCTGAAAATAAGAAGACCCAAGATATGAATCAGAACTTTCCCATCTGTGTTTTTCAGTCAGTCTTTTTAAAGAACTTTTCAGAATAATGGCTGCATAACAATAGTTCTAAATATTTTTGATACCCATTTGTGGAGGGAAGACAGGAATCTTGTTAGCAACATTGGACAGAAGCCCTTAATTATTTATTTGGTATTATGAAAAGGGGTTACTGATTTTTTCTTCAGATAATCTACCCTCTCATACATTAGCTCGCAAATTGACTTTATGACAGAATATGCCATTCTGAGCCTGCAAATAAAGGTAGCCATAAGACCAAAGGGTAGATCTTTAACATGTGCCGGGCAAGTGTCATCAAATGCATATGCATCTCCATGGGGCTACCAGTCATTGGAATCTTGAAAGGGCTGGTTCTGTTGTTAGCCAGAATAAGATGGTGACCTTGGATATTGGGTAGTATGGAAGAGGTAATATCAACAGCATCATGACCATCAATCTCCATTTGGAAGTCAAGCTCTCTATTCCAGATAGTTTAGCTCGTGTCCCTGAGATCATTAGATGCTCTTAAAGTGAGGCACAGGATGCGATCCCATCACTAGTGCTAAAATAAAAATCAGCTGTCAGTCTAGATCAGCTTCTGCTGTGCAATAGCATGGGATACTATCTTGTCTTTTGTCTCAGGCAGCAGAGTGCCTTGAATCAATTCTGATGCTTATACCCCTTAAAGAATTCTCTAAATCAGCATTTCTCAACTCAGCGACTTTAAGACGTGTGGACTTCAACTCCCAGAATTCCCCAGCCAACCCCTTCTAGGGGTTTCAGCCTACTTGCATCAGTTGGAATCAGCATGATTAATGGTCAGGGGTGATGGGAGCTGTAGGCCAAAACATCTCAAAGGACCCAGTTTAGAGAAGGCATCTCTAAGGTGAGAGGACAGACTTAAAAAGTATATGATCTACATTGCTGTGGATCCTGTTTAACTAAGATTCAGATCCACAAATTGTAGCTCAGGAGATTAATTCAATTACTTACTGCACCCCATCAGCCATACACTAGAATGACTTGCATATACTAGTACAACTCTGTCATTGAATTATTACAGATCAGAGAGTCTAGACTATTTTAGGAGGAGAGCTTTTTGTCGCCATTGTTAAGAAAACACAGAAAAATAGAACGCATTGTCTTCCTCTGTAAAGCAATTAATATTCTACCAATAGATCTCTTTCTTAACTAGATTCCCAGGAACCCTGTGGCTCTATGGAAGGAGTGAACCAATCCCCGCAGTACAACTGTCATATTTTGGCTCCAGCAAAGCAGCCAACAAAACATAATAAAATAGCTAGTTAGGAGATAACTTTCTTGAACTGAATTCCAGAGCTGTTGCATTGCAGAACAATTCTATCCGACATGGTAGCTGCAAGGACATTCTTTTTTTAAGATAAAGAAGATTCCTAGGGTATGCATTTTGAATGGTGGGATATAAAAGCTATTCTGACTTTTTGGTGACTCAGAAAAAACAGTAAATAATGTGGTAAGTGCTTTCAGTTAAGAGTAGGAAAAAAATAAATATAACAAGGTATAGAATATCTTCTATAAAGATATTTAAAAGAATATCTTCTTTTAAAAGATACAGTCTTGCTCACATCCTCTTACTAACTTGTTGCTTCGATCAGATTATTTGTTTTGATGTATCTCATCTAGCATGGAATATTTTATACACATATCAGTAGGGTGGTTGCAGAGTCAGAGACAAACACAGTGTGGCATCAATCACCTGGACACACTTTTTCAAACATGTCAATCTGGTCTAGCAGCTGGTTTCAAATGGGATTTGGATTCCGGCAGGGAGGAAGTGGGAGTTTAACCTCTTCTCCTTGCTGGAGTGCTGATCAAGATGGACTCATATTTAATCCCCAGGTAGCGGTGTTGTAAGTTAGAGAATAGGTTATTTCCAGGTTACTTGTAAATTATTTTGAAATGTCTCTCTGAAACAGGGGTCTAAACCATATTCTAATGCAGGTGTACTGTATATGCAACCAGTGACGTGGAGGGCAAATGTAGATCTCCAGCCTCTCTTTTCCCAGAGCCCCTCAGGATTGTACCATCAAAATTCAGTGGCAAACTACTAAGTTAAATTTTAACATAGGCCCAAGATACTTTACTTTTTTAAAAAGTATATGTGTTAAGCTCCCAATAGGCATATTATACCTACTTTACTAATCCCCATTCAAATATTCACAAAGAAGAATTAAAATGTTTGCCTTGTGCCTGTTAGAGGCAGCTTTGAGTTACAACCACTCTCCACCCCACTCATCATCATCATCATCATCATCATCATCGATGTATGTCCACACCTACAAATACATTGCCTACCACCAATCTAAAAGGCCATTCCTTTAAAACAGTCCCTTGGGTAAAATCAGGAATCCTAGATATTTAAAATACATGTTTTAAAATATTGATTTATATTTTAATCTAAATAGGCTGGTATCCCATGCCTGCTACCCTTTATTCTGGAATCAGCCTCTCCCAATGACTTGTGCCATTTCAAGTGTATTTGATGTCGAGGGGAAAAGGCGAGCCACAAAGCCGTGTCCAAATCAGTTTGAAACATCAAACCACGTTTATCAGTGTGGCTCTCCCTACAGAATCTCTTCGAAGGTAAGTGCTGAGTGTGAGTACATTTCAACTCCTGCAATTTACCTTTGCTACTTCAGACCCTGGCAATGTCTTGGTTCTTTCCAGGTTAGCCAAAGCCAACCTGGAAACTGTTGGAGACAAGACTGTCTATCCAAAGCCGATAGACAGACAGACAGATAGATATCATAGATCGATCTATGCAGAGATTCCTTTCTAAAAATGGATTCATCACAGTGTGAGGATACTAAATTGGGATTCTTTCTCTAAGGAGAATGTAGGGAAAACAGGGTGCTTATATCGCCAGATCAACCCATTTGCTACAATTAATAAATGCAACGTACCATTCTCTTTCTCTATAAATAATCTGTCCCATTCAGAAACATACATATGAGAAAAATATAGGTAAAAAATAATTATACCATGTTTTTGTTTGTTTGTTCCCCAATGCTAGGTGGCTGATATAATGAGAGAAATAAAAGAAAATGGTCCAGTGCAAGGTAAAGAAAAAAAAGGGGGGGGGATTTTGAGCTTGATGTAAAATAAATAAATAAATAAATAAATAAATAGCATGACGTGTAAAAGCAAACTATATATATATGACTTATTGCAGAAAATCCTTGAGAATGTTAGTTGCCTCTGTTTTCTTTAGAATAACAAAAGCGACACTCATTCTTCCTAGGAGTCAGCATATTTTACTATCTGACTCAGTTTTGATTTGCCTGAGATATAGTTTAGATGATTTATTTACAGTCCTAGAGCAAGATTTCATACAATACAACAGCCCAGCTTGATTTATAATGTATTCATCCATATGTCCCTTCAGAAGCTAGTGCCATCGTTTCAATGAGACTGACCATTCACAGCTATTTCACCCCCAAACAATCATAGACTAACAATGTCTATATTTATGGTTGTTAAGTATGAAAAAAAAGGCATACTAATCAATACCATCGTATTGGATTAGAGTGGGCAATGTTTGAAGAATCAGGAGCTCCAACTCAATCTGTGTCGGAAACAAAGGGACACTGATATATTTTTTCCCCTTTCTGTCTGGACCAGGACAAGGGGATTTTGTACCCCATGTGTTATGACCAGCTTAGTGACCAGAACACTGGGGGGGATGATCATTTTTTGCCTCTTCTGTTGGTCAGCTGGAGGAAGCGCTGATTGGTTCTTGCTGTTTTCTGCCTGTCTTCAGCATTCCAAGGCCCGCAAGAGTTACAAAGATGCCAGGCAGGCTGTGTGATGGAATGGTTTGGTGAAGGCTGCGCTCGGGGAGATAAGCATTTCCTTAGTTCCCAACAGGAGCGTGGGAAGGTTAAGAGGATGAGACTGGCACCACCCTAAGGAATTCGCGGTGTTTGCTTGCTGGCTTGGGAGGTTTAGATTCAGTCTGGCAAGATTCTGTCCTGTGGGTGAAAGCTAATAAAAGCTATCAAACTAGACCTGTACTGTCTTGTGGAGTTCTTTGGGCACCTGACAGATTGGCTTCAAATAGCTGTGCAGGGATTGTGGAATGGAAATGGCACCTTATTGCATCAAGTAGCAACTCAGAAACCCTGTTTGATTTGGAATTTGGCAGCCCCAAAAACACAGGAAAACACTGCTGTTTTCTCAGAGGAATTGTGAATTCTGAAGTTGAGTGCTAGACACAGTAAGAGAAGGATGTTGCCTTAGTTTGGTGAACAAGTTGAGGGGAGGGGGAAATCAATATTAGAACTGCTGAAGTTGTTTCATGCTTGGAATCCTTAGAAAGAGAAAGAGACTTGCCAATACAGTAACACTTTTTAACTAATGTATGGGGGTATTTCATTTGGAGCATTGTATACACTTCTGATCACTGCATCTTGAGGCTGGTATTATAGACTTGGAAAAAGGAGAAAAAGAGCATCCAAAATTACTGGGGGTGGAACAGCTGCTCTAGCAAGAAAGGTTAGAGCAGCTGAGGCTCTTTTGCTTGGATGAAGGTGAGTAAAAGGTCATGTGATAGAGGCATATAACATGATTAATGGCAAAGGCAATGTGGAGAAAGAGTAGTTAGGGGTATCTTTAACAAACCTCAGTTATGCTAAAATGATGACATCTGTGCATGTGTTGTCATGCAAATACTACATGTGTGTACTTGTGTCACAATGTCTGATGCATACCTATATGATCAGATTCCTTGATGTGTGGGCACCCTTAGAAATCTACTAAATACAGCATCTGCATGCTGACATCCTCATGTAGCTGTTGCCATTTCCCCCTCCCACAGACACCGGTGTGAATAATTTTTCTCCCTCTCTCACAGTGTTAGCATATAAGATCTTCAACTTAGAGTACATGAAGGGAGATTCAGGACCAATAGAGAGAAAGGCTTTTTCACGTAGCCCGCAGTTAAACCATGGAATTTACTATCAGTGAATGATAAATAATGGCTGCCAAGTTGGATCATTATAAAAGGAGTCTGGAAGAGTTCTTGGAGGATAAGGCAATTTATGATTTCTAACACTGATGACTGTTTACCTGAATAATGGGTTGCATGCCTTAAATATTGACTGGTGGGAAATGACAAAGGACAGGGATAATAACCATTCAGTCCAGGCACAACAGCTTTTCCAGCACATTTCAGTTGGTTCCTGAATGACACATAATACTGGACTAGATAGACCTACGGCCTGATCCAGCAGATCTTGTCTTATAGTCTAATGATTTTCAGTAGGAATCTGAAAATGAGAGAAATAAAGAGATCCTGGCATGAGAAACTTGGGGGAATGGTAAGGAAGAACAGATTGTGGGTGTGAGAGGGATTGGATGAAAGAGGGGCAAATGTTTCCAAAAAGGATGTAGCAACAGGCAAGGTATAAAGATAAGATGGAGTAAAAGGAGGAACACTCAATCTTGACTGGACTGGAATTAAAATGGAAAACAGAGGAAAAGAAATAGAAACATCTGTTTTCTCAAAATAATTCAATGTGCTTTATTAGCTGTCTGAAAGCAGTGCAAGTTTTCCTTTCCTTATATCCATGCATCAGGTGGATGTTTACAACAAGGATCCACAGTCAGCAGCACTGCGGTGGTATCAAGATTATGACACCTGTGTTGTGGCATTATCCTGCAAAGGATGCAACTTACCCTACTTGTATCATGATGTCTGATGCAAGTATGTAAGCCACATCATTTGTGTCATGACATCAGATGCATATACCATCATTTCCCTCTTTCCAGTCCAGATGCCCATCACACACACTTTTTCCCCCTCTTCCTGGGAAAATGACAGAACAGGAGGAAGTTCTCACTGGTTTCGTGTTTTAAGTAAAACCTCAAAAAATTCTGAACAAGGTATCATAAGATGAGGAAGAAATCAAGTGAAAAAGTGGGCTCATGTGCCTGCATAAAATACAAAGATTGGGAAAAACAGAAAGAAGCAGTAGTACACCAGAGACTTTGACTGTGGATTTTCTACTAACACAAATGTCTCCTCTGAATTATTTGTTTATCTTTAAAGCTTTTAGTCTAAGAGGGATTGCTAAATAATTTTCCATGTAATAAAATGATGTCTCAGCAATGAACACTAGTTAAAATTAGGATTAAAAATAACTTTTTTTTGCTTTTTTTCATTCACTACTATCCTTCAGCGATCATGAAAGTATATGATGATTTCTTCCTTTATAAGAGTGGGATTTATAGGCATACCAGTGGAGAACCACAGCATGAGCACCAGGAGAGACTCCATTCTGTCAAATTAATTGGGTAAGTAAATCCATGGTTGCGTCTCCTTGTCCTTTCCATAATACGTAACAGCCAGACAAGACTTTGCACAGGACATGGAGCATTTCCTTCTCTTGATGCTTAAGGAATCTCTATCAAGCAGAGAGGAGCTTTCTTAAGAGGCCAAAATAAATAGGCCAGAACTATAGGACAGTGACATAGTGGGCTACATGCTATACATTTGGGCTTCAACCAATGCAACATGTCTTCTCTCACTTTCCTTTCCATCGCAACCCAGCTGTCAAACTTTACCTACACAATCTCTCACTATAGACTGAGTACATTCTTATATATAAAGCTAAAGTGTGCAGATTGTGAACATTAGCTCATGAAATGCATTAAGGCATGGCACAAAGCAAACAGATTCTGCATGCTAAGTTTTACTAGCTAAATATGGACTTAGATGTGGGACACTTTATCAAGAGCTGTGCTGCTTGTATGCAGAGTCAACGGTTAGATGATGATCTGCCCTCTATATCTTCTTCGAGTACCACTTCACCCTTGGACCAAATTGGGCATTGACATTATTGGATACATACAACAAGCATATGTGCTTGTAATAGTTGGTCTTTCTTCTCTTACCTGAAGGCAGTTGTGTTGTCACTTATTTTGGCTGATGCCATGATCAGTGTACTGCAAGACATTTTTGCTCATTTTGTTTATTCCTATGAAGTGGTTACTGATAATGCCCAACAGTTTGTGAGTCGCCTTGCTTCAATTTCTTTCCCCAGTCTTATGGCATTAAACCTATCTAGGCTTCTCCTTATTGTCCCAACAGTAATGGGAAGATAGCAATTTCACTGCTACTAAAAAAAAAAAAAAGCTCAGCAGGATGTACATTGTTAAGGGAGGACTCGAAGAAAGGAAATGCTTCAGATTTTAAGGTCATATTGTTCTACACACAGGGCTTCAAAGGTGACTCCTGCCAGGTGGCTTCTTTCTCAAGATATTTGTATTAAGCTCCCTTGTCTTGGTCCTGAAATGAAGGTGTACAATTCAGCTTAGAGAACATCATCTGAACAGGGACCAAATGACTAATTATGCTGATTCCACACACACACTTAAACAACAGTTTTAAAGCTGGGGACTAGGTGTTATGTTGCTAACTATCTGGCTGGTGATGAACTTCAGCCAATAGATAAGAATATTCACGATGTTATCCCTCAGAGTATTTCTGAGTCTGCCTGCAAACTAGTTAACACCAATGATGGTCGTGCTTTAACCCGAAATGCCAAGCACTTGAGAAAAGTCCTATTTCAACTGGAATCCAGCATGGAGGTCATCCTTTGTACTTCTGATGTCGTGACTGCTGCATCGCGGGATGGTGGCACCACAGGGGTGGCTCAGTAGGAAGAGTCAGAAGCCTGGAGATGAGCTTCATCCTGGGGATGACAAACAGAAGTGGCAGACTTGTTCAAAGGCCCCCTAGATTTCACTTATATCGTTTTCAGTGAGCTCTTCTGTTCATGAGTTCTAGATATCTTTGGAACGTCAATACTTAATAATGTTAGAAGAATTGGTTTATCATTCTTTGTTTCTGTCTAAGAAAGAGAGGGATGTCGTAGAACCAGTGCTACAAGTCTCCACAGACCCTGGAGCAAACAGGAAGCATTTAGGAGAGAAATGGGGAAGGAGACAAATGGAAAGCTGTGAAAATGTGATGTTTAAATATAAAGAGTTTCCTAGAATCTATATTAAGAACTTTCTAAAAAAAAAAAAAAACACAGCACAACTCACAGCCACCAGATTTTCCCCACCCCCCACTCGTAGTACTGTTTGTGTGTGTGTGCGTGCATGCGCACGCCTGCCTTTGAGGCAGTGTTGACTCCTGGCAACTGCCTGGACAAGTTTTTACAAATTTCAGAAGTGGTTTGTCATTGCCTTCTTCCCAGGGGTGAGAGAGAGTGACTGGCCCAAAGTCACCCAGCCAGCTTTCAGGCCTAAGGCAGGACTAGAACTCACCGTCTTCCAGTTTCTAGCCTGGTGCCTGAATCACTACACTATTGCTTCCTACAGCCCAACATAAAAAGAATAATTTACCTCTGCCTCTCAGGGACAGCAGTGTTGTTTTACTTTGAAATGCAATTATTTTATTTATGCTGGACTCTTTCCTATAGCCCAGCATAAATAAAATAATTACATTTCAAAGTGAAGCAATGCTACTGTCCCCAAGAGGCAGAGCTAAATTACTTTCCTAATCTGAATCTTTATTCAGATTAATATTTATAGCATAATCCAATGACACTGATTTTGGTAAGAGGTTATTGATTGATTGTTTTACTTCAAGCATTTATAAGGCTACCTAACTCAAACAATGTGATTCTGGGTGGCACACAACAAAAATAAATATTAGCAAAAAAATAAAAATCATACATCATTAAAAATACAGTATATTTTTTAAAATGGCAAATGGCAAAGACAATTAAATGGCAAACCAAGCAAGACAATTAAAACAACTAAAAGGGGTCTCCACTCAAATACCAGATCTGAACCTCTTTCCTAAAGCCAGCAGGGTTGGGACCTTTCGTATATCTGGGGTAAGGCGGGGAAAGATTGTTCTAGAGAATAGATAGATTACTAGAAGAGGCAAAATTACATTGTATTGTCTTTAAAACATGAGATACTTCTGTAAGTTATTGCAAGTATCTTTCTAATGAAAGGATTTGGAGTTCCAAAAACTGAAAAGAATGTTCAGGAAATTACTTCTGTTCCCTCTAAAGTTATTGTTTGCTTGTTTAGTTTTTGTGTATATGAGGGTATGAGAGAGAGAGAGAGAGCAGGAGATGGCAGGGATGGAGAAGAAAACTAGCTCAGAAAACTTTTTTGCTAGGCTTTGAATATAATTTTTTTTTCTTTCACTCATAGCTCTCTTCTGAGCACTCAAGGCAGGATATGGGTTAGTTGGAAATTTTCTCTGATCTAACTTCAAAATCAGACTTTGAGCACACTATTTTAGTGTGAAATGCGGAACATCCTAACCTGTATCAATGTAATCAGAAATGTTTCTTTTATCTTCTTTATTCACTTTATGAATTCTATTCTATTTTATTTATTTTATTTTACTCTTGGAAACTACTCCTTCAGGAGATGAGTTTGGCTTTTGAAAAACAAATCAACATCTTCCTTTTCATCCAGACCTCCTTCTTAAGATTCCTTCTTGTTCACACACTCTTGCAAGTGAAAGGGGGTGATCTGCTGCAGATCCTCTTTCCCGAGGGATGAAACCTATCATTGTTGCTCAATTATTCTCAGGTCAAAGCCAGGTATACGTGTCTTCCAACTGTGCAGTGAGCTGGTGGTGATGTGTTACTTCTTGGATAGCAGAACATTTATATAGCAGGAGAAAGAACATGAGGGGACAGAAACCTATTGACTGGTTCTTGTGTGAAAGAAAAACGAAGATAAGCCTTATTTAGAAAACTGCATGGTGATAGGAAAGCCTGAGTTACTTAAGTCAATTTATACATCAGAGCCCATAGTCTTTTATCTTCCTTGATGGAGAAAGAGTGAGTTAGGTGAGTAGATGTACAGCATTGGGTGGAGTCAGAAGAGATACAAAGATATAAAACAGAGAAAGATGGGATGAAATATCTAAAAACATCAGTCCTACCAACAGGAGACAAGCCGTGTAGAGACATACAAAGTCAGCCTTTTGGACAAGTAATGGAGGTAAATGTGCAGAACCCCTCAGATAGCTACTCCTACATCTATTGCCCCATGTAGTTAATAAATTGTATTGGATGTCAGTGCATGCAAAGTTGAATGCTAGCACATCCCCAGGAGGAATCCTAATACTCCTTTTTAAACAACTCAGAAGTGTTGAAAGTGTACTCACCAGATGAAGACGTTTCAAACATGTCATTCCGAAGATCTCTAATAGCTTTAAAACAGTTAATAGGCAATTTGCAAAAGTCATTAGAAAGTGAAGTTTGCGAACTTAGTGTCCTTCAAAAGGCTCCGCCACAATTGCGAGCAAGATGGCTGATCCCGTCATCTCCCGCACTCAAACCCATGGAAAACTCTTGTCTTGCAGTCTCCTCGCAAGAAGCAGCTGTCTGGAGCACATGTGGGTGATTTCCTGTCCTCTCCTTATCTGGAGAGATTCCAAGAATCCAGTCTACTCACCATTTATCATTGACCTTTACTTAACCATTTCCAAATCCATAATTTGAAGGTGTCTCTCTTCTTTTATTTGATCTTTCTCTGTGTCCAGCTTTCATAGCATATATCAGCACTAAGAAGGCTATTTTAATATTTATATTTTCTGTATTGCCTTCTATAAAAACCCTTATTGCAGAAACTTGCTACTCTGATAGTTAAGGAAGAGTTCATGGATATTACTGACTAATTTCACATCAATTTCAATTTGGAATCTTAAAATAGTACTCTATTGCTTTAAACTGCTTTTCCTTTTGAATTTCCTGAAATTGATATAATAGTTTATATGATATAGTGAAACATTAAGGTATTTGCTTTTCATTACTTGTTTATTCTTATTCTTAGGACTTGAGATTCTGTTAATGAATACAGAAAAAATGGAAAATGGTACTGTTGTAGAAGTAATTGTTCTCTTTAATGCTTTTCAGAAGAAAGAGAACTTTATAGATTATTAACTATCATTTAAATTTTATACACTTATTTAAAAGACATTTTCAATGCACTTAAGGCTTCTTCACCTTTTCCCTGCAGTGCTTTTTAAAATGCAGGAATATTTCATCTCCAATGTAAGGAGGGAATATCAATAGCAAAGATAATCTTCTCTGCCTTCTGTAGCAGTTGAAATGCCAATAGACATTGCCCATGTGGCAAGTCCAACGTCTTTTGTAGCCTGAGGCAGGGCAGAAATTTCACCTTATATCCCATATTATACATGGATAGGACAGACAAGTGATTACAAGACACGAATACACACACACACACACACACACACACACACACACAAATATTATAAAATTAGAGATAGCTCATACATTTTTTGCCTGAGACGAAGCAGAAATTGTCACTCTTTCATTCAATAAATCTGAGTACCCCAAAGAATTACCTAAGTTATTCTGCTATCTGATGTGGGAACCTCCAGAAATACTTCTCTTCTTCTACAAAAGGTACAGTGATAGTAATGTCAAATAACTCACAAGTGACTGCCTTTTCTGCTGCTTAAGACAGCCATTGCCTCATTCTTCCTTATCAACTGGGCAGTTATTAGTGTGCAAGAGCAACAATACAACTTCTTTTGAAATTGCACTTTTTTCCCTCTCGTGGAAAATTGTTCTAGCAGTTTGGAGATTCTAGTGCACCATGAAACAAGAATATTGAAGGCAATGAATTCACATCCATCCCATCCTTTTCTGAAGCTGGGCGGGGGATAGTGAGAATGGAGCTGGTGAGGCGAAAGGAGTAGCGGCCAAGAGCAGGGCTTGAAGGACACTCTTAAAACGGGGGAATCAGGTTTTCTTTGTTCTATTGGATATCACACTTCTCTATTCCTATTTTCCATTTCAATTTTCCACTTACTTTTTTCCATTCTCCTACATGAGACAAGACTAGAAATGGAAATATATTTTTATTCAGTCACACTCTTGGTTTATTGAATTTAATACTGTCAGTACTGACAAGGGTAATTTCTAATTTTGTCTCGAAATGCTAGGCCCTCCCGTTTGCATGGCATGTGCTCTGCCTCTGGAACTAGTCCTTGGAGTAAAGGTTGTCTGTTAAGAAATAGTATCCTTACGATCTGGTCTGTATCTCTTCTTTAGATAAACTATTAGATTTTTTAGTGGATTAGCTTCAGCACAAACCAAGGTGCTCTGTGATTTATTTCTTGTTGTGCTTTATTGTTGGCAATTCTAGCTGGGTAGGTGCTGTGGTGAGTTGACCGAGAATACAAATAAGGGCAAGATTATGAAATCTGCTTCCTATACAGTTATAGCAATATGAGATAAGCCATGGGGAACTGTGGCCACACTCACACTGAGCAGAAATCCTTCTAGCCTACTAGATCAAAGAAAATTGCTTAAGCTGCCTGCATAGCGCTTGGCTATAGCACAAGGTCACCTATTTTCCAAAGCAGGGTAGTAAAAAGTGTCATTTGCCCATAAACCAAGCACTTGGAAATGAATGCTTTAAAACAGACGCTATTCAATAATGCTTACATTCGAACATATAAAGCACTAATGGGGAAAAGGGAGAACTGTGTGCTTGTTCCCAACATTCACTCTTGGGAACATAATAAAAAAGGGATTTGAATAGCAATTAGTATGAAACAGCGCCTGCAGATTCAGACATGCAGCCATGTCTACAAGGTCTTCTGAATAGCTACATGTTATCCATACAGTTAATTTGTGGGTTGTTAGTGCTTGCATTATTATTTCCAGATCTTTTTCGTGAAAGAATAGTGTTGTTCTCTACAAAGTCAGAACAGTCCATATACCTTTAATAAATTTCTTACTTGCATGCTTTCCAGATCATTTCATATTCATTGTTTCATGTTTATTCCAGAGCCAGGTTGTTATAAATAAGAATTCTCCTACTCCATCTCTCCCATAGGAGTGACTGCTCAGTTACAACCTTGTGGAACTGGGTCATCTGCAAAGGATTAGCACAGGCTTGCTATAGTAGCCACTCCAGACAAATTGAGAAATTTGGGGCATTTTTACACCGCCACTGTTTCTGCTCCCCATAACTTCAGTAGGAGTTTATCTTCTCTTCTGCTGATCACTGAGAACAACACTACAGTACCATAGTTTTGTGGAGGGGAACTAGGAGGTAGGATGAGGAGGCAAAAGGACCTGGGAAGTAAGATGAAGCAAGAGTTCCCTCCATTGGGTAAATAATCTACCCATAAGCTCTGCAGAGCAGCATTACTTCAAGCAAAAGACTAGCTTTGCTGCAATTTCAGATATATCTTAGTTATGCAAATTATATATACCACATAATAAATTCAACAATAAATTCCCTCAGCTTTCCAACCCAGCCAACATTGGGTGATCAAACCACTTCAAAACTGATTCTGAATTGGTTCAAAGAATTGATGTGGAAGTGCCCTTCATTTAGTTGAAAAGGTAGCATCTATTAAACTGACTTTTTATATAACCTGCTGGTGACAACATAAGTCATTACAGCATCTACGTTTTCCTCTGATGCCACAGCAAGAGTTCCTTTAACAAGAAGAGCTGTAGAATGGATTATTACCAGTCTCATTGGATGCTTTATACCTGGGAGTATCTGTAGCCCCACATCTACAAATTACATTCAGAGCCATGGAATAGGTGGGTGGGCATTAAGCTAAACATAGAAAGACAGAAAGGGAAAAGTCTTCACATTTGTTCATTTTCACTCCACTCCACTCTTTTTTAATCAGCTTCTTGGCTGTTTTCCACCCAACCCCTCCACTCCACAACTCCTATTAAGAAAAAATAGTACATTTTAGGAAGGCTGTGCTCTAATATTGTAAGTTTTCTCCTAGCATCAATATATATATA